ATTCCACTGTATATTGGGAGTATGTAATTTGTCTTTTGATTTTATAGAGGCTTACAGTTAAGATATTTACCTGAGTCTCAGAATAGACTTTTGAATAGTATTGAGACTGATAATGAGTATGGGGACTTTTAAAGTTGGACTAAATGCATTTTGCATTTTATATGGACATGAGCCATGAGCCTATGGGGGTCAGGGGGTGGAATGTGGTGGTTTGAATGAAAATGTCCCCCACAGGCTCCAAGAATTTGGACATTTTGTCCACAGCTGGTGGCATTGTTTTGGGAGGTCTCAGAAAGTGTGGCTATCCTAGAGGAAGCACGTCACTGGGGGTGGGCTTAGAGAGTTCTTAAGCCTTGCCAGATCTCCAGTTTCTCTCTTGTTTCCTTTGTGAGAGCTTCATTTCTGCTGCTCCTGCTCCAGCCACCTCCAGCCACCATGCCTCCTTGCCATGATGGACTATAATTCCCCTGGAACTGTAAGCTCAAATAAACTTCCTTCTACAAATTGCTTGGGTCAGTGTTCCTATCGTAGCAACAGAAAAGTGACTAATACAACCTAAATGAGAACTTCTATCACAAAGCAAAGTCCAGAGCCCCTGGAAGGTGGGGCTGGGTGGGTCAGGGATCCCCTGGAGCAGCTCTGGGCAGGGTCTTTGGGAGGAGATGGCTCAAGTGAAGTTTTCTGGTGACGGTACAGCTAGAGCGGTAGTGACTGGAACACGGCATCCTGAAGCAGAAGTCTGTGGCTGTCACAGCAGCCATGGCTGCAGTGCTCCTTGTAGCAGGGGTCTAGCATCCTCAAGGAATTCATGAAGTGCTCAAAGCAGCCAAGAGTCTACCACAACAGTTTAGCCAGCAGCTAAAATAGGAACTGCTCTGCATAAAGCTCCCCATTCAAGGTAGAGACATACAAGGGAAGATTCTGACAGCTGTCGGTTAAAGAGCCAACTTGCCCTGGCCCCTAACAGTTTAGCTTATTTGAGGGGAAAATAAACATTAAAGGGTTCATACAATAAAGACCTATTAACAGTCTTAGCAATATTTCACAGTGCTTAACTCCTAGTCAAATGCCCTAAGAGAGAACTGGGTCTCTGATCCATCTTAATAGTGCAAAGCATTACCCATGTTTGTTTTGAAGCTTGTATAAACAAACTTACTGCATTGCCAGTCATGCAAAAGTATAACAACATAATTATATATAGTACATGATACTTGATAGTTGACTATGTTACCAATTCATAGAGTACTATACCATACTTTTTATGGCTAGATTATACTCCTATGTATAGAAAAAGTTTAGTGTAAAACTATGTCTGGTTATGCTGGCAACAGCCTCTAACACTGTTTGTATTTCTCTATTGTATCCAGGAGCCATGTATCCACTAGCCATGTCTAGTAATTGACCTGTTCCATCTAAGTATGTGCAAGTTCACACTGAGATGTTCATACAACAATGGCAAAATGATGTAACAGCACAGTTTCTCAAAATGTACACCTACCCTTAAATGATGCAGAGCTGTACCACTACCACAGAAAGAATCACGTAAAATTTCATGAGAACAAGCCCGGAATCAAGCAGAAATTAAAGGAAAAGGGAATGTTTCCCCTCTTGTGTTTAATATGCTTCCTGGCTACTCTACAGAATGAAGGTAATTTCAATTTGCAAGCTTTGCTTTATGATAGCACTCTGCAAAAAAGAGGAGCATGGGATTTCTTTCAATGAGTGCTTCCTCCTGCTTCTAAAATTTAAAGAAGAAAAATACCTTCAGACATGCCTTAAGCATTTAAAGTGAAGAATTTCAAAAACCCCATTTTACTGGAAAGAAAAGCAAGCACATCTATTTGCATGGGGATGTTGTCTATGGAGAGGGTCTTCCATGGAAAACCGGGGTAACAGCTCTTTTCTTGCTGATCTGGGTGAGCTAGGGGAAGGCACTCACCTTTCCAAACTTCACTGTGGCAGGTTTGGAGCCCCTAGCAGAAATCACTGAACTCAAACCACAAGAACAGGGTAGGACAGAGCTGGAGAAACTGCCAGGTTGGAAGTGGAGTGCTCAGTGTCTGAATATCCAGTAGGAAGCATGACTGTGTTTAATTTCCCTCCTGGAAGCTTACAATAATGCATGTTGTTTCTGGTCATTTTCTTTTGAGACTTGCTCTTGCAGAAACTTGCTAATACTCTAAGAGAAATATTTTCTTTGCCTAGTTTGGCACCCCAAAAGGAGGTGCTAACACCTCTCAGGCAAGGAATAGGAGCCAAATAAGTGCTTGAAACCAGACTATATTACAGAGTTGCAGTGAGCATAAATGCTCTGATAAATGCACATGTAAACAATTTAGACATACAAAATAGTGAGATTTTATGTCATTATTTGCTTTATGCTAACTCAGAATTGCAACCCTCAAGGGAGCTAGGATTAAGTTTCAAAACATCGAAATGTTTTTTGAAATAATATTTATAAAATCATGGCCATAATGATAATTCTTATTTACCTTAGCTTGGATATTTAGCTCCAGATATTTATTTAAAATCTTCTCGGATTCAGAAAGGCTGGAACCGACATCCAATGTATTAGAAAGTACTGGGATAATTTCCTGAATTGACATTTCCACCTTGAGGAATAAAGAATATATTTCAGTCTTAATAATATACATTTATGTATGTGAGCACACATATAAGGAAATATTGGTTCATATATCACTATTGTATTCCAATGCATATCCATTTTAATCTAAAGTAGCTTTAACTATTTAAGAGTTTCATATTTTGATAAAGCTCATCTTCATATGCAGTAATACCAACACATTTCTTTTATTAATAGCAGTGACTGAAAGCCATCATCCACTTCCTTGAAGAGCTTATCTACATCACCTTCAAACATATTGGCAGAGATGAATTCATCAGTAGGTTGAATGGGATCAATTTGCAGGCACATTCTGAAGTAAACATTTGAAGTAAAGGTATTAGCCCACCTATGGGCTGTTGTATTTAGGGCTGGGGAGGGCTGGGAAAGCACCAGACTCTGTCCATGTAGTGGTGAAACACAGGGACCACTTGAGTCATTTCACTGTCCAATGGTGATTTGATTTTTTGGTGCACAAGAACCAATGGATAAAGTGACTCTTGCAGGTCACTCAAGTTACTCTGTTCATCCCTTTGCTTTCTGTAGACTCCAGACTCTATGTTGGCTATGAGTTGGCAATAAGGCAAGTAGTAGCAGAGGTTTGAGCTCCTGCTGTGTTTTCCACCACCACCAAGTTAGCTTACCTGTCAGGCTGAGGGGAATGCAGCACCACAGCTGCCTCCATGTTTGGGATCACCCTGACCAGACAATGGAACAAGGCTCAGTTTCCCAAGTTACTGGATCAATTAACAGATGGGGATACAATTTCATAGGAACATTATTTAACACTTGATCCTGTGAAGCCCATTTTATATTATGAATTTTATAAAATATAATTTTATAAATATGTCTATTTTAGAAAACATTTTATTTTATTTTTAAAAATTTATTTATTTTTAACGTGTATGAATGTTTTGCCTACATGTATGTAGTGCACCTGTGTTGTGCAATGCCTGCAGAGGCCAGAAGAGAGCATTGGACCTCTTGTACCTGGAGTTACAGATGACCGTTAGCCACCAGGTGAGTGCTGGTAATAGAACCTAAGTCCTCTGCAGGCACAGTCAGTGCTCTTAACCACTGAGCCATCTCTTTAGCCCCTATATTTCATTCTAAATAATGAAATCCACTCCTAAGTTCAAGCATGTAAATCCATTACATCAATGAAAATTTGAGACCCATCTTCTGCAGTTAAGTTAATTGCCATTGGTGTCATTGATGGATGGGAAATAAAATTTTTACGTATAAAACTACTGATCACTCTGCACAGAGGATTTTCCCATGTATGCTTTTATGTGGATGACTACATCTCTTGCACTGGTTTGGCTGAATAAAGTATGATGACAGTTTATTCCCAGAAAAACCTAAACCATAATTTTTAGTATCTATATGTCTTATTGAAGCCCTCCCATTCAATGGTGCATTGATAATGGGCACTGCAATGTTCTGGGACCATACCCAGAGCCATGCAAATCAATGGCCCTGTTCCAATGTGTGTCTGGTTTGGTTAACACTGAACAGTAGAAGGCACATATACCTTTGTGCCCATACATTCAAGTCTAAGGTGGCAGATTGCATTAGACATTTATTTTTGACAGTCTGGAACAGAGGTAGTTAAAGAGCAACAGTGACTTACAACTGTTTGTCCAATTATAGAAACTAATGCGGAACATTGAATACACCCAAAGAAACCCACCCCATCCTCCCACTACACTCACATACAACAGTTGCCACACCATCCACGATCACCAGATAAAAAGTTTACATTTCATTGAATGAAGCTACCTTCCTTAGGTACCCCTCCACTGATGCTTCTAATTGCTGTTTCTTAAGTGCAAATTCCTTGTGTGCTGAACACTGCTGGGTCAGATGATCCACTCGTTTCCGAATGCATTCCATCATCTCCTCAATACCTATCACCTGAGAGCTAAATGGAACAAACCAGCTGTTAGTTCACTTGACCTTGACATAGAAGCCCTGGCTACAGGGAACATTTGAAAACATATCTGCTCTTTCATGTGCGAGAAGAGTTGGTGAAAGTTAACTGCTTTAAGATTATGGAAGTGTAGTAGCTATCATATTGGTACAGAGGCAGAAAAGCCAAAGTATGCTCTTGTATTTTAAGTCAGTCCCAAGAGAAGGATGAATTTTGGTTTCTGCAACAGGTCTAATTCTCTTTTCTAAAGGTTTACTTTTTGATATTTCTCTAAGATACTTAGAAAACCTTAGGCAAAAGCCACAATATGTTTACCAGGTTTTCCTGAGGGTATTATTTAAAAGCTTCATTTATCTAAAGATGCTCTTTGAATAGAAATGTGAATCAGCCAATTAACAAAGCACTTACTAGTCCAATAGGGTGAAATATTTATATATTTTGTACTTTGTACTCTATTATAAATGCTCAAGGCTATATTCATTAGATGAAAACCAAGTTATCACTAGCAATTAGGTATCAAATACACTTGCTCACAAAGCAGAAACCAAGCCTCATTCTTTTAACCTCTGTTGACCTCATGAGACAAAGAAAAGTAACCCAAGAGCCCACGAAATGACAGGCCTTCCCAATGTAGCCAGGTTTGTGTTGGACTCCAGTTGTTTAACCTAAAGATACTACAGTAAATTATCCAATCATTCCCAAACTAAGCATGTTCATAATGCAAAAAATGAAAGAATACTGTAGACAGAACGGATGCCTTTAAATCAATCAATCTATCCCTAACACAGAACCTGGCCTACTATTTTAGAAATTGAAGTCTTTAGTTTCCCATCACCTATTTTTCTCCAAATATTAATGAAGAGTATCATGAGCACTCTTAAATTTAATTACCCAGAGCTTTTTCAAAGGTCTTGGAACAAGGGAGATATTTCTGTGATTTTTCCTCAAAGAATAAATTTATGAGTCTGAAAATTGAATTTAATTAGCAATGAAATGAGGACAAGATTCCAAATGACCAGAAGATGCAGGAACATCACTGAAATGATTGTGGAGATACTTCCTAGGTGAGGCACCCTCAGATGTGTCTTGTAGGTACCTCAAGGGTCCCTGACAAACATAATTTTGGGGAAATACGTAGCCACTATGAGAAATATTTTTCCTGGAACATAATGTTCCAAGGATATCACACTTAGAACAATTAGTTTTGTATCTTAATACTCAGCGACTGTAGAGAATATAACAAAGACATCAGAAGAGTTTTAGAAATAGCTCTTAATGCTATAAGTCCACATAGTCTATAAAAGCAGTGTCCTGATTATACCGGTTATTTTTACTAAGATTTAGGCTGAGGTGTTATATTCTAAAAAGATACTTTAAAATCCAGTTGTCCTATAAACAATGTGCTCCAATTTCCTGTAGAAGATGGAAGTTTGGAATGAGAAAGAGTGATTGAGCAGCGCTGTGCAAAGAAGGCGCAGAGGACAAAGCTAAAGGAAGGACTGGGCAAACACGTAGAAAGCTGGCTGAAAATGGCAGGAAATGCCATTGCAATTTAGACAGAATTAGTAAGATTTAGAAATATAAAATAGAATTTGAAAAAAAGAACTGCCTCAACCAGTATGAAAGATGCCCACTTCCACTTCGGGGTTGCCATGTGGCTCCTCACTCCTAACCCCAACACATACCTCGCATGCGTTATAGCTAGGCACTCTTACTAACCAGACTTAGAAGAGGGACCTTCAGGACCCCAAGAAGATAGCTGGAACAACTACAAATTTTGAACAGCTTATCCCCTGGGGGAGCTGTTCTCAGCAACAAGTCCAACAAGCCTCTATTCATATACTCTTTAGTCTTCTCTAAACAACACAGTTCCAAGCCGTTTCTGAGCTTGCCTGTTGTTATATGTGTATATGCATGTAGGTCCGCATGCATGTAAGGCTGGAGGTTGGTATCAAGTGTCTTCCTCAGTTGCTTTCCTCCTTTTTTTTGAGACAAGGGGTCTTACTGAACCTGGAACTCAACTAGACTGTCTGGCCAGCAAGCTGCAGGGGTGTACCTATCTCCACTCCCTCATCCCCTCGCTGCTGAGGTTACAGGCAGATGTTGCCAGGACCTGCCTTTTATGTGGGTTCTAGAGATCAAAACTCAGGCCCTCATACTTGTGTGGCAAGCACTTGACAGACTGAGCCATCTCCCCTGTCCCTGCCAGACAGCCTTTTGGGCATTTCCATGGATGATCCTGGTTCCAAACCTACTCGACTCTGATCCAAATTTCCCTTGGCATCCCTTTTTCCTGTGTGCCTCCCTATTTTGTGTTAATTATGTTTCTTTAATTTAATCAACACTCAAACTGAATCCAGCTTCCTCTTTATTTAAATAAGCTCTCTCCTACATTATGTCAATCAAGTGTGTAGTGCCATGAGAAATATGGATTCTAGTTTTTATTTCTAATAATTTTGCATACAATTTTAATAATAATGACTATTTTAAATTCTCACAACAAAACATTTTTGTCTAATGCATTGTTTCATGGGTTATTCAAAAATAGCTTTCCATCTTAAAAGGTTTCAGTAATTCCAATTTGTAACTAATGAAACTGAAGCCCCAGAGGTGAGCTAACTTGCCTTAGAAAACCACAAGTCAGTGAAAAAAATGTTATTTAAAGTCAGGACTCACTAATACCCAATGATATAATCTTGTTATACAATTTTTAGAGCTAATTAAAATTAAAATTGTTATACAAGTTTTAGAATTAATGATTAATTTCAGATCTTAATTTTAGGAAAGTGGAGATGTAGATAACCTTGATTTGGTTTTTGTCAATGACATCATAGCCACAAGTAATAAATAGAATCACTGCATCCTCACTGCAATAGGGCACCACTCTTACTGTTTTAAACAGTATGTCTTCTATTTCTCATGACAACCCTCAGACCTGGCATAATCATTATTCCCATTTTGAGGATGAGTAGCATGAGGAACAGAGAGGCTCACTAACGTGCCCAGTTATGGATGGCTGGGACAGATTGGACCCTGTGTACTTGATCTTGTGTTCCATTCTTTTACCACCTTCTTGCACTTTTTCTGAGTTTCTAACACATGACTTATGACATAATGGGTATTTCCCCTCTGTCTTTCTGCAATTGAAGGTTGCTGGCTCTTATACAAATAGGATTGGGCTGAGTGGCATCTTCTTTTGAAATTGTTGGCTTCTCTAGGTAAAAGCAAAGTCTGCCTGTAGTCTGAAAAGTGACCACTAGAGGGCTATGGTACCTTGTTCAAATTGCCCATCTTGAAGGCCCTACCAGCATAGAAAACTTAAAACTAGACAACGAAATCAATTCAAGCATTTTTTTTTTTTTAGTAAAAATGTCATTTTTTTAGAAACCCAGGAATTTAATTTAAGTGAATCACAACCAATCAAACAGGATATTTTTCTAATTTTGTTTCAATTATTAATGAGATTCTCATTTTATAATCATTTGTTCATTATCAGGCACTGTGTCTCTTGCATAGCAAATTCTTTTTCTTTAAATAAATAAATTATTGAGAATTTCATACATGCCTATAAGGTGTTTTGACCAAATCCATCCCACTCCCTCCCCTCCAACTCCTCCCATATCTCCCCATCACCTTTTTCTAATAACTTCATGTACTATTTCTTCTTTTTTGATTTTTTTTATGGGGCTTTTGGATACTCTAACATTTCCCCCTTGAAGAAGTAACCCTAAAATCTTTTAAGGATTAGCTATAAGCTCCCAAATACTTTCAACATTTTTGGCCTTTGGAACAGAGTATGTTGTTGAGGCCCAAGGACATTTTGACTTTTAGCTCAGAAACTGGCTACTTTTCTTTGGGGTCTTTTTACCCTAATTGCCTGGTCAATTCCTACCTCCTATTCTTATCACACCATTCTATGAAGAGGTTACCCACATTACCAATAGGGAATCAGGACATAGACTGCTCTGGCTTCTTCCATGCTGAACAGGGACACAGGGTGAGGCAATTGGAGTACCCCTTCAGTGGGTCTATCTAAAAGACTCCCAAATTACATAACTCTTATCTCTAAGGGGAAAAGAAAGTCCTTGAATCCTGAATAGGAGATGTGAAGGAGAAGTAAAGGCAAGAGTAATTGGCATTATAAGTTCTAGAGAGGGAACTAGAAAAAAGTCAGAATAGGGCAATTTTCAAATGTTCTTATGAGAGTCCACTGGAATTTCTTGACAAGGGCTTCCAAAAGCATCCCTGTATTAGATTCCTCCTCTTTTTCTTTTCTCTTCCAAGGCTGGACTCTAGAGTGATGGATTCAGGATTTGCTTTCAGGTATTTTGATAGCTGTTGGAGTGGTTAGAATCAGTGTCAGTTCCCTCTCAAAGACTTCTAGATAGGGGGAGAAAACAAATTTATCCATCATTTTAGAACAATAGCTGGTTGTCTCCCTTAGCTACAGTGGGCACTACAGTATTGTAGACCAAGATTTGTAGTCTTACATCTGAACAGCACTTTCTGGTTAGGAACAAAGTTATCAATGAGAAATAATTGTCTAAATAACTTTATATAGACTTAAGTCTACTATCTGGGAAGTGTAATCCCTTGAACTCTTAAAGAAATATACTGATGACTTTATTCTTTGGTTATACTTTCCTTTTGGGTGTTTAAGACCATACAGTTGGCCCAAATAAATCAATTTATTTTTACACTTAAGGTCATTTGAGGATCTGTTCCTCAGGGGTCATGTGAGCTTGGGAGGAGCTCCTGGCTCCTTTCTTTTACCAGTTCCATCTATGAGAAGATAAGTCAAAGGTCCTGCTCGACCATGTCTGGCTCCACTTGGAAGCATGAATGAGATGTTTCCTCTAAGTTGGCCCTCCTCTCTGTAGACTGGACACTGGTTCAAGTCCATCTTGTGGGGTCTCCATGACCTCCCTGAGCAAGAGGACAGGTGACTCACCACAGTTACAGGTCATTTTGAGAGATGTTCCATAGTCCCC